AGAGCAAAATTAGGGTTTCAACTGTAGGTCTGAAATAAGTGCGCAGCTGCACTCTCCAAACAGTCCGCACAAGTGGGACTTATCGTAGGGCAATATGAAACCCTAAAAACTAATCACCTCTGAGAGGGGGGGGTTCGGCCCAACAATCAAACCCTAGAAACGAACTTAAACACTGTTCGGCAAGTCAAACCCTAGAAACAAACTGGAACACAGTTCGTCCCCTCCTTCTAGACAGGTTTAACCTATCTCGACTAATTGCAATCTCTGAAACTCAATAAAAAAAAACTTACTTATGCACTTTCGGTTTACTGTCTTCTAGGGTTACCTGAACCCCTTCGCTGCTGCTTCCCGATTACCAACTCTCTGCAAGCCGCGGCAAGTCTTCAACTGCTGCGAACCTCTTCTGGTAATCTCCAAGATTCAGCCACCGAATACTTCTTCAAGGCTTCCAGCCCTAGCTAGTTCTCATGTGGTCGATTGGACTAGACACACATGAGAAGCCCTAGATAGGCTCTGATACCAAGTAGAAGATCAAGACCGTAATCAGTCTTCAATCCTAATAGGTTTTAGGTTTACAAAATAGAAGAAAAGTGAGAGAAAGAACCGAGAATAGAAGAAGAACAGGAGAACACAATGGAACAGATCTGCCGCCGCCACTTTCTTATTATTTATAGGTTATGTTTAGTACACAATGGAAMRGACACATCTGYCCTTAGTACTTACATAATAAATAAAGTAAATAAAGCTGAAATAAATAACAACTGAATTAACAAACTGACTCAAACTGACACTACTATAACTGAAACAAATAACTACACATGCTGTCCTACGAACACAGTGGGGACCACTGCAGTGGGGCCCACATCAGTGTTCTCTACACAAAGCAACAATTGTTTTGGGCTTCCTTATAAAACAGTTGTATTAATGGGGATGATGTTGCGGTCATCAAATTGTACTGTTTTTTTCATATAACTAATCAATACAATCAATTTTTCTGTCAATCAAAAAGAAATTGTGAAGAGATGATATGAAGCAATTTGCTAGTGAGAATGTTCCAAAAGTTCAACAAGTTGAGCTACTTGATAAAGAACAGGTTTCTCTACAATCTGAAGTTTTGAGGTCAAAGATAACTGTTCAGATGGCTTTTAAGAAGACATCATCAACAAGGAGAATCAATTAATTCAAGGAGAGAAGGAGAGAAAGGTAAATAAATAAAGTATAAAAAAGGGCACTTACGGTGCACAATAACTTCATCTGGGAGCTTCCTCACAAACTGCTCTGCTGCATATCTCCAATCTTCAGCACTGAATGTAATATAAATAAATAAGTCATCAAGAGGACTTTGCCTTAAGGTTAATCAGTAAGTAAATAGTTAAGGACAAAGAAAGGAGCAATTTGAAGCTTAAGGATGTCACTGTATATGTATCAAGGTTACTTCATATTTGTATAGAAAACCCAGATGTCACTCAGACCTCCTTTTATTTGACAAATTATATATTGAAACATGGAAAAAAGGAAGCTTACTAATGTATATAAGAATAAGAGGCATATGGAGAATGGAAAAAATGATCACAAACAAAACAAATAAATAAAATGAATGAAGGATCATCACAACATCCTTGATGCAGGAGATGAAGAGTCGACAATGGAATTTTCAGAATTTTATGCATTTCAATATATTAGGACAGTAGGGGTATTTTAGTCATTTTAACATGTGTCAGTGGTTCAGCCTATTAGTTTTATTTGTCTCGTCATTGTTTAGTCGTGTTTAAATTGTTAGTCATTGATTAAGTACTTTAAGAGGTATTTAGCTTTTTTAAGTTAGTTTATCTTGACAGTGTGGCCGACCAAAAATAAGAGGAAGAGAAGAGAAGAGAAGAAGAGAGAAGGGATTGGCAATGTAACAGTGCTGACGGCGCCAGCTTTTATTATAATATATATAGGGCAGTAGAAACAAGAAGGGAAAAGACCCTTGTGCCCCTGCTATAAGTGAGTACAATAACAGACATAACAGAAATAAAAAAATAGAAATAAAAAATGCTTTAACTAGCCAAACAAACCCTAACACCAACAACTAAATTATTTCAACACTCCCCCTCAAGTTGGAGCATARATGTCAATCATGCCCAACTTGTCACACAAATCTTTGTGCCGCACATGATGAAGACCTTTGGTGAAGATATCTGCAAGTTGTTCTTCTGAGTTGACATATGGCGCACACACTTCTCCATTTACAAGTTTCTCTCTAAGAAAATGCTTGTCCACTTCAATGTGTTTCGTCCTATCATGTAGGACTGGATTAGCAACAATATTGATGGCAGCTTTATTGTCACAGTACAGATTTCTTATCCACATGATTTCAGCAACCCCATGAGACATCGCTCTATACTCTACTTCAGCACTAGATCTAGCCACCACACTTTGTTTTTTATTTCTCCATGTGACCAGGTTTCCTCCTACAAAGGCACAATACCCATTGGTAGACTTTCGGTCATTGACTGCTCCTGCCCAAT